ACACACACACACACACACACACACACACACACACACACACACACACACACAGAACCAGGGCAGCCCCAGCCCCAGAGCAAGGTTTCAAGATTCATGTGGACAGCCTAAAAGTCTTACAGCAAAGGAAAGGGCTCAGCTAGGAAGGTGCTTGCTCTAGAAGCAAGATGATCTGAGCTGAGATTTCCCCTCACCTACATAAAACCAGTACGGCAGCATCTGTGTGTTATCTCGGAGCCTGAGAGGCGAAGACAGGCTGGGGCTCTCTGACCAGCCGATCTGGGTGAATCCATAAGCAGTCAGCTCCAGGATCAGTGAGAGACTTTGTCTCAAGAGATGAAATGAAGAATGATTGAGGGGGACACTGGGTGCTGGCCTCTGACCTCCACTCACACACACACACATACACACATACACACACACACACTCTCTCTCTGAAAGATAATTCTTAATTGTATCCATACATTTAATAAGGTACCGTATTACTAAACCACAAGAACTTACATGAGTTTTCTGAAACCGGCTTGCTAGCCCTTTCAATAGTTCCCTACGATTTGATGGTAAAAAGGTGTCAGTGACAGGCCAGAGGGAGCCGAGGACTAAACCGACCGCACTTTCTGCTTTCTTGTTAGTCAAGAGTTTTCACCTTGCGCTGTTTGGTCTGTAAAGTGCCTTCAGTATCACTACAGATAAATTCCATCTGTGAGTCTGGAGTGCAAAGGTGTCCCTGCCACACCCACCACCTCCTTTCCCGGCAGGCGCTCATTGCTCTAGACATGACATAAACACTCAAGCTTGCAATCTAAAATTGATAGGATGGGTCACATGATTCTTAGCACTTCCTAGCATGGGCAAGGAAAGGGTTCGTGTTTTTGTTCTTTAACCACAACCTTGAAGATGAATATGAGTTTATGAGTGGAAAGTCCATTAAAGGGAAGATTCATCCAGCTGTAAACACAGACCAGCATGCACAGCAGAGCTCACCAGGACAGGAGGCTGGCTACTTAGGCTAACACCTAAGACACTCAAGAGTCTCCTGTGGGCAAGGAACAGAGGCAACTTTAATCTAAATATTCTAAACAGAAAGCTGTCCAGTGATGTGTGTATGTGTGTGTGTGTGTGTGTGTGTGTGTACATGCTCAAGTGTGAGTGTGCATGTTCCTGTGTATGTATGCTCAGGTGTGTGTGTGTGTGTGTGTGTGTGTGTGTGTGTGTGAATGTGTGCATGCTCAAGTGTATGTGTGCATGTTCAAGTGTGTGTGTGTGTGTGTGTGTGTGTGTGTGTGTGTGCTATCTGGTAATACGAACTCACAGAACTCTTCAAAAAAGCAGATATTAACTGAAAAACTAAAATAAGAAGCTTTCTTAAAAACGTGTGCAGTCTTTGAGGCTATAAGAGATCGTCACACTTTCTACTAATAAATGATTCCTCATTCATACAGATTCAAGTGCATCCATATTTGGACATGTTCCTGGAGCACATCGTGTCTTCTCTGGCATTAAAACAAACCTCCTGAGAATAAAAGCATTCGTGGGGCATCATCTCCGGTCCTCCTGCTGGTCCTCTCACCGGGTATCAAAGAAAACACCTAAGTAGGTCGGCCTGCACAGAGGTCAGCACTGACTGGCAGAGCCACATTCCTGGGCTGAGAACAGAGCTCAGGGGTCACCCTCCCTAAGTTACCGCCACCCCACTTCCCAGCATGCCCTCTGTCTCCCCAAGGACCAGCTCCTCCTATTCTAGCCTCTGTGGATACTGGGACTGGAGCCCCCTCAGTCACAGGCAAGAGTGAACGTTTACCAGGCTCAGTGGGGAAAGAGCTCAGATTCGGGGCATCTGATTGTGTTCATGATGTTCGTTCTCACACCATGACAGAGTTCAAGCTGCCCACCTGATGTCAACTAGCTCATAAAATTCTAAAAACATGGCAGTTAGCTAATGGGAGCCAGCACAACTGTGGATGAAGACAGGCCAAGCCAAAACAGAAATACTATTGCATTAAACTCCAGTTTATAATATTGGCAAAACAATAGTAACAACAACAACAACAACAAAAAAAAAAAAAACCCAAAGTGCCTTAGAGCTGTTTTGAAACTGGAAATACAAACAGTCTGAGCTTAATCTACATCATTAAGCCCAACAAAAGAAGTGTTTGCCTTAGAACGCGGCTCATGAATTTATGATCCAAACTAGAGCTCCTGTGACGGCAAAGTCCGAGCCTCTCTCAGTACATGAGCAGCAGGAGGAAACCAGGCCTGTTAGCCAATCCAGAATGTGCCTGCTCTTCCAGAGGTCCTGAGTTCAGTTCCCAGCAACCACACCATCTGTAATGGGATCTGGTGCCCCCTTCTGGCATGTAGGTGTACATAACGACAGAGCACTCACATGTAAAGAATAAATAAATTAAAAAAAAAAAGAAAAACAAGATGTTTTATTCATGAGCCTATCTACACACAGTCCAGCAGGTTACAGAGCACCACCGGTGACTGGCTGGAGAATCTACAGGCACAACCCAGGGTCAGGACCAGTGTTGAGCCTACTGCCGACCGTTATCTGGAACAAGGTGACTGAAGGCCTAGAGCATCTGTGGAGAGTGGAAGGAAGTGGTCCAGACTGGGGAGCAAGGTGGTGCCAAGGAAGTGGCCCTGAGGACAATACTGAGTCACTCAGTGGCTGCTGGAGACAACCTGAGCTAAACTCAGTAGAAGCTACCCTGGTGACAAGTGTCCTGAAACTAGTTATTAGGCATCTCTGGTAATCCAGAGAGAGAGGAGAAACATGAATTCCCGTAGGAGCATGGGAAAGAAAAGTTTGTATAATTTTGCGGGGTTTTTTTTTCCTGTTTTTTTGTTTTGTTTTGTTTTGTTTTATTTTTCGAGACAGGGTTTCTCTGTCTAGCTTTGGAACCAACCTGTCCTGGTACTCCCTCTGTAGACCTGACTGGCCTCGAACTCACAGAGATCCGCCTCCCTCTGCCTTCCAAGGGCTGGGATTAAGGGCGTGTGCCACCACTGCCTGGCATTTGTATAATTTTCTATAGCTGGTGTGTGTGTGTGTCTGCATGTGTAGGGTGTGTGTGTGTGCCTGCGTGTGTAGGGTGTGTGTGTGTCAGCGTGTGTAGGGAGTGTGTGTGTGTGCCTGTGTGTGTAGGGTGTGTGTGTGTCAGTGTATGTAGGGTGTGTGTGTGTGCCTGCATGTGTAGGGTGTGTGTGTGTGTGTGTGTGTGTGTGTGTGTGAGCGTGTGTAGGGTTGGTGATTTTTTTACATTCCAGTTACATCACTGAAACCAGCCTTGGAAATCTGGGCTCTTACACAGAAAACTTAGAAGGCTTTTACACACCGCCTCTTCACACTGTCATACACCCATCTCTTGGCAAACCTGGAGTGCGTTTGTTTACCTGTTACAGTCCTGGACGCAGGCGCTGCAGTTCCCTTCTTTGAGGTAGCATGCGGCTCGATTTGAATACAAGATGCTTAGTTCATCCGCACTTTCACTTCCTAAAACCACATTTAATTAAACACAGTTAAAACCCGCGAGCAAAACTACAGTTCACCAAACTGACAGGACTGCGGTCTCAGCGGCACTGCGGTTGGTCCCACAGCCTGCTCAACCTGCAGAGCTCCTAGGAGCTGTCCCCGCACTGGCCACACGGGGAAGGTAGGGCAGACTCGTGCAAACTAGCCTGGCCGGCTCCACATTCCGAGGTATTGCTCACATAGTAGGTCGAGTGGCGCAGTGCCCTTAGTCACCAGGAAGGAATGCGGAGCCAGTGTCTGTCAACGGGCGCGGGAGGCCGGCTTCTGTCCCGAGTCCCGACCGGAGCAGCCTGGGGACAGCCCGGGGACCCCACGGTGACCAGGCTCGGCTACCCTACCTGCAGGTTCCAGCTGTGCTATCGCCGCCGAATACTGCGCGGCCGCCTCGGCGAACTGCCCGCTGCGGAACAGTTCGTTGCCCTGGCTCTTGAGGTCACCGGGATCCTGCGAAGCTCGGGGCTCCCCGGGGTGCGGGTCCTCGGTGCTACCGGCCGTCTCTGTCTCCCGCGGGCCTCCTTGCTGCTCGGCTCGGGGCCGCGGTGTCCGGCCCCGACGCGATCGCCTGCCGCCGTCGCTCCTGCCCATCAGCTTCTTCTGGATGTTGCCCATGGCGCTTGCGGCCGCTGTGGGGAGAGCGCCCGGGAGGTGAGTGCATCCCCGGGACCGCGATCCGGCCTGGCGGGTGCGGGAGGCGCCACCCGGCGCGGGCGGAGTCCCAGCTCCCCGCCGCCCCGAA